ACTGCCAATTATAAATTTTATATAAATGTGAAAACGGGGAAGGTTTAAAAATCAACGATCAAATAATATTTTCTGCATATCTTAAATATTCGACACATTTAATTTTTTAATTATATATACGTTAAATTTGTTGAAGACCGCGATTTATCCATGTTCTTGAATCGATTGTTATCGCTGTTCCTCGCGGCCGGTAAACTTTAAGAATTACATTTGTATAGCGGGCAGTGTCATAGCAGTTTTCTCTACGTTGACAACTGACGGGCGTGTTACCTGGGAAAGGGACTTTGTTTTAATCAAATCGTTCGATCAATTATTTTTCCCTAAACGCAGATGTGATAACGTAATATTTTTACTTCTCGCAAGTTTTCAAAACTTAAAATATTCATAAAACCTTAGAAGATAAAACTTTCGAAAATAACACCGTTAAAGTTGATATAAAGTTTTTAATGTTTCTCGAGCCACATTTGTCATCGCGTAAAATAGTAATAATTACTAACGATTTACGTTACACCAGATGTGTTACAGAAATTACGGGAAATATTCTGAAATATCAATTGTTGATTTATTTGCCACGTTTAACAGTGCAAATTTTAAATTATAGTTTGTTTTTTTATTTGATCGTTGACTTTCCACCTCGAACTTTTTCATATTTTTTTTCTATAAAACAATAAAATTTAATAATAAAAATTAATCTTTATTTTGACGACATATCGAAATATTTATAATGATAAAATACCCGATTTAAAAATAGTGAATTCTAGTGTTATACTTAATTCAAACGCTTTCGTGTAATTTGACATCAGTAAATATTTAAAACGTATTTATTTATAATATTCAATTATGTACATATACATTTAAATAGCAAATTATGTGCTATGTATTTTAAATTTCTGTGTACTTTTTACTTTTTGATGTGAGTTGTAAATTAATCACGTAAATTGTGAATTATAAACTCAAATTATTGTGATAGATAACTGGTAAAATGTTATACATTATTATATTACTGTAAATTATATTACGAGACAAATAAATACAAAATCACACAATCAAAGAGAAGAGGACGATTGATTAGAATCACTGGGGATAATAAAGGGTTTCTGCTGGGTATTTTTGAGTTTGCCGGAGATTCTGTTTCAGATTTCAAGTTGAAAATGTGTAGTTTGTTGAGATCAATTTCAAGTTCATTAAAAATTTCTCTAATAGTTATTATATCTAGTAAAACGGAACAATCTTGCATAGTATCTGTTTCAACTTGTATATATTTCAAATATTTTCATGTAATTATGTAAATTATGAGTATACAAGTAATCAAATTGTATCTTAGAGTTTTATATTTTATTAAATTATATGAGAAATGATATATAATAAAGAAGTAGAAAATAGCGTATAAAAACATTTTCAAAAATAGAGGACCGACGATATTATAATCGCCGGGGGTGGTGGAGGGCCTCTATACAGAGATTAATCTGTTTTTACTGGTAAAAATTTCACTTAAATTAAAGATTGAAAGAAAGACTTAATTGAAAGTTCTCCTCGTTCCACACTCTGTCTCTAAACCCTCAACATAGCTTGCTTGACGCAAAGGCAAAGTAAACAGTCACAATAGTGTAGGTATTATATTATAATGATATTCTTTTATTTTACAACAAATTACACACATAATATATGATACAAAATTGCGGTCAACATAATTATTCATCCAAATAAAGTCGTAGCATTTGAGCAATCGATTAATAGTTCTGAAACTGCGATTCTTTGAAATCGAATCTCTTCAAAGTTAAAAGAAACGATTTAATTAATTATTTACATTAGGAATCCCATTTTAATATTTCCAAAGCATAGACCGTACACCAAACCTATACCTATATTTTATTACCCCAAGATATATTAAAATTATTATTAAAATATTGTAGAAAGAGATGAAGACAGAACAGAAGAACAAAGAAGGAAAAAGTATTGATATTTAATGGGACAATCAGCAATTAATGCAAATCAACAAAACAAACTTAAAGCCACATTCTTTGGATCACGTTAATCATTATTTTGGATATTATTGCTTTTCACAGCGTACATCCGAAACTGAGTTTTCTAGTTCAGATTAAGTATTTATCTTTTTCTTTGCATTAAAATTAATTTTTTATTATAAATCAAATTGAAATTTAAACGCCCATTGAATTAGGACCTAGGCAAGGTGGTGGCCATTAAATAGCTTAGTGAATCCATATACCGTATTTTTCCTATTCTGTACTGTGCGCCGTTACTATCGGACATATAACACAGATTTTCCCCTCGGTAGGATCATTCTCGTGAATTCACATGTTCTAAAAATCGC